AGATCTGTTTTGACTAGTAAATCTGTATAACACTGAAACGTAATTCTTAGAATTACACATTTAAAAATCAAAGTATTTCCGCGTATCACGGTGTTCACAGCACCGTAGCACCAATCCAAACCAACAGCAATGTCATTTTCAAACAATTTTGTCCCTCCAGGTGGCGTCCTGTACAAACTTTTAATAGAAGAGAAATTGTGGAATTCCCGCGTGGTAACAAAGTTGTAATCGTAATCAGATTTTTTTTTTTAAATCAATGACGGTGAATATTTAATGCTGTAAGTCGGACATTCACATTTTTAAACTTTTTAAGACGCACTGTCGTCGGCCTGTGTTCCTTTTTGAGGAGGTGTCTGCCAGAACAATTTCAAGGACTGTGAAAAGCGCAGACTTTAAATCGAGAGCACTGTTAAAATTGTATTAAGAAACTGGTTTCTAGTAGCTCATCGATCCAAGGATCCCATCCAGCCCTTTCTTTCAGGGCACAGGCTACAACAACACTGCGGGGTGTTTTGTTCCATACACCCACAACCCTTTGTGCAAAGAAACGCCTGGTGGTCTCAGTTTTGAGCCCTCTGGTTCCTGTTTCACGGCTGATCCCGAAGAAGCCCACTGGGGTCGCCTTTGTCAGTGCCTTGGAGGATTTGGTGAGGTCTCTTCATAGTCTTCCCTATTCCAGACTAAGGAGGTTCACCCTCTCCGGCCTGTCAGAGTGGAGCCTGCGGGTGCTGAGGTTGCCTCTGGGCCTTTGGCTCAGCTCCTTTGGTTTCTGTTGCTCATCAGCTGCTGGGCCCTTCTGCTCGGGGGCTACCTGCGCTCCTCTTACGCAGAAACTCATTTGCAGTCATCAGCCACTATTCTTGAATTCAAAAGAGACTGAATTTAAACAGATCTCTTTTTTAGAAAATAGCTGCGATGTTTTTGGAATGGCTGCATTGTTTCAGACGTGGGCTGGCCTTATGGGTAAAACCCACACTCTTCTGTGGCTGGCTGGGGTTCGAGTTCCCCTGAGGACAGCGAAGGGGTACACGCAGCTGACACGGCGCTCGGCTGTCTGTGCTCACTGCCCTTCACACAGGAATGTCTGCTTCCAGGATCACTGTGCTTCGGCAGGCAGGGCGGCCAAGCTGTGGTGAATCTAATGGTCGCTGAGTTACTCATGCACGGCCAGCAGACGAACAGACGTTTTAAGCCTTTCGGTTAAGGCGGGGAATGCTAAACAAGGGCCACATACTACACCAAGCACTCCGTCACCTCTCAGGAGGATCCCTTGTCTGCTATTCACCACCACTACGCCATTTTTCATTCTTCACCGCACCCCACATTGACTCCCACCTGTGTTCAATTACCTGTCCATCCTGGGACACCAGCCCATCCCCGGACACACGCAGAGGGGACAAGAGAGATGGATTGTGGGGAAAAAAACTGGAGCACCTGGAGAAAACCCACATGGCACCAGGCAGAACATGCAAACCCCTCACAGAAGGCACCCCTGTGCTGGATTCGAACCTGAAACATGGATCTGTGAGGCAGCAGCACAATCCACCACAACACCACGCTGTCCTACAGGACAAATTGGCCTCCCCAGTCCTCAAGTCGGGAACAAAATCTCGGGCTTAATACTACTAGTATTTTAATGTTGTCCTTTGTTAGTTTACATTGTTCGCCTTATTATCAAAACTTGCCGTTTGTCCGTCGTGTCGGGGGCTCGTGTCTTTGTCCTCATTTGCCCGTTCCCCCTTGCTCTCTGCCCGTCTCTCTTCTGACCCACTTGGAAAATCGGCGTATGTGCAGCTACATATCTGACCCGTGAGAAATGGAATGTTCCACTTTCCGTCTCTGAAAGCTAAATAAAGACCTTGACAAATGCTGAATCCGTGGAATGCAGAATTGCGGTGGGGGTGCTGGTTCAGCCAACCACCCTCCCCGAGCTGCTTGTTGTCTGAGAATGCTGAGTTACCGGCGGACTGGTTTATGACACAGGCTGTGGAATGTGAGGGGATATTAACTCCGAAACACAGGATGGACACACATGACACAGCACGGACACAGCTGAGTCACAGGACTCGCAGTCGAGTGACGCACTGCTGATCGGTCACTGGGGTGTTGAGGTGAAATCTCAAGGCCCGCTGTGCTGCTATAATGAGGTCAGAGGCAGAGCCTCACTCACGAGCTCTGCTCTAGCTGGGAAGCAGGATAGGGTAACAATGCAAACAGCCCTCATTGCCTGAAACATCTGCAATGGCAAATGCCCGTTTTCCCCTGCAAAATCGCTTCTCTCTGTTTATATTTTAGCAAAATGATTCCCCTGTCTCTGGATCAGAGTAGCTCTAGTTTGTAGTTCTTAGCACACAAAATATGCAAAACTGGAAAACATTATTTTACAGACTTAAAGTAAAACTATTGCAAGGTTTATTTATCGTTATTGGATCAAAGAGAAATATTTGTTTATTTCCAATGAAACTGCATCCAATGGTCTACTGATCACATGGTATTTACACAACAAATTAAATGGTTTGTCCCAACTTCCATGTCTTTCTCCCTGCAATGTTTGCATTTTATTAAAATGTTTTCAGCATTTTATTCTTTAAAACTGTGTATGATTATCATGTAGACACAGTGGAATTAAAAATATATTCATGCATTTTCAATACATGTACAGTGGCTATACACTGTGCAGAGATCAGTAGATATGTGTCTAGCAATGCATATATTATTCTATGTAGGTACATATAGTATCTTGCTCTAATGCCTTGCTATTTCTGCAGTGTAAAGGAGGGGTCCCACTATAGCTGTAGTAGTTGGTGAGTATAACATAACATGGCTTTATCAGCCCTATACAATTCCTTTTACAAGTCTTTTAGGAATTAGTCTTCATACTCCAGGTTGCTCTCCATGAGACACAGACAGGGAGAGAAGCTGGGGGTCAGAGCGCAGGGTCAGCCATTATACAGAGCCCCTGGAGCAGTTGGGGTGAAGGGCCTTGCTCAGGGGCCAAACAGAGTAGGATTCCTCTGCCAGCTGCGGGATTTGAACCGGCAACCTTCCAGCCACAGGCGCAGGTCCTGAGCCGCAGAGCCACCACTCCGCCCAGCTGTCCATACGGAGTACGTACCAGTTGCACAATTTGTAGGGGTGTGTGTGTGAGGACAGCCCATTGACAAAGGACTGGTGCCTCCAGTCCTCAAGGCTGGTCTCTGTGGGCGAACAGCTCTTCCCAAAGGTTACTGGGGGGTCATCACCTCACCATGTCCTACCGCCCATCTGCGCTGCCCAGGATATCCTGCCGGCACAGGAAAAACAAAAAAAAAACAGCCTTTCTACCTTTGAGGCAGGAATTACACATGATTTAAAAACTAATGGCATTGAAGAAAAACCTGTGAGAAAGGATATTAGGAAAAGACCAAGAGTGAACAGCGTTGTCATCTGATTTTCTGTGGATATGCGTCCTGGTTACTTGTTGTCGGAGAACAGGATGAGCACAGATATATGACGATGGCTATTCAGAATAATTAGGCCAAGGAGCTGTAAGAGCCTAAATAACATTGGAAATAATTTTGTACTTTTCCCTGTGTGGTAAACATGAACTAATGAAATAGCTGTACCTTACAAACACTGTTAAATAACTGTAAAATCTACCTGGTGTAGAAAAAAAAGGCTTTAGGTCAATAATCTAAAATAATGAGGAATTATGAATGGATTGCTGCCATGAGAATTGAGTTTACTTTTATTGATTATACTGTAGGCGTCCGGTGTGCCTCCAGTCCAAATGCATAAAGTCATCGATAGCAGTTAAGAATATCATAGGTTATAAAATCAAGAAAATGGCAACTAATCAGTGTGATGTTAGTTATTAGTTAGTTATTATTAATAAGAGGGGTCACTCCTAGGTCCCACGTAGCCAGCCTGGAAGGACAGACTCAATAACAAAGACTCAGAGGCTATTTATCAGAAATCATCAGCAACACAGTTATTTATCTTTTTTTTCCTCCAGGAAAAAAATAAGGGATATTTACTGTCTTCATGTGAGCTGCGTAACTATAGAGAAAAGCTATTAACGTTTGAGGAACCTCTAAAATAATCTCTTAATCTTTTCTCATACCAGTTTTCACTTTCAGGATGTCTGCTTGTTTTCTTGTGTTGGGTTTTATTTGCTTTAAACGACTGGCCAGTTAACCACGCTATATCTTTAAAGTGACGTCTTATTTGTTTGATACAGGACCTTGACGGTAAAGTACACATGATAAGGTTATCTGCAGATAAAACGTATTTTACTGCAGTGCTGAGGCAACATTGCAGCTGCCGACCCCAGGAATTATAACATGGGCAAGCAGGGGTTGAGATCGCCTGCCGGAGTACAGTCTCGTTTTGAATTCAGTGTGAGGGCTACTTGAGACATTTTAATCTGCAAGTATACCAGGTCTGTTACCACGTTTCGCTTCGGGTTTCGTTTCGAACCGCAGCTTCCTTCAGCACCACTAAGTATTTCAGCTAACAGTAGATCCCACGCCATCAACACCTTTGGGAGCTGCGTATCCCCCTTGCTCAGACCTCAAGTCACGGTGCTTGCTCCAATTCGGTGGGAAAGGTGTGTATTTTCATTGCAAAAGGAGACGGTTGGCACAATGCAGAAACAAGACAGCGGAACAAAACCGGACAAACTTATTGAACAGTACAGTATAGAACAGCAAACGTATAGGAACGTATAGGAAGGCTAGCTGGGGCAGAATGCCTTCAGTACGCTGCGTTTTTGGCATGTCCACATAACACTGCTCCAAGCAGCTTGTTACTGCAGAAGCTAATAAAGGAGCCAAACACAGGGCCACCTCTGTAAATGCGTGTTTGTTCCCTTCCAGCGTACGAGCCGTGCGGTGTCTTCCAAGGGTGAAGTCCGTGCCAGCTCTCTTCCCGGCGGTTGTCAATCAGCACATGACGTCACCCGGCTCGGTAGCGTTTCCGGTGTGGATGGGTGGGCGGGGCGCTGTGGTCCCGGCCTGGATTCACAGAGAGAGAGAGAGAGGGAGGGCTGGGAAGAGGCTTCAGCCATATTCTACACACTGCCGCTACCGGGCAAGTTGGAGCCGTTCAAAGGAAGATAAATATCGTGATCTTCAGAGGCCGGAAGGGGAGACCTAGAATTCATCCGCTTGCAAAGATGTATTCCGTTTTACGGTCATGGGGATATCATAGTTTGCATTCTTAAAGCACTGCGGATGGAAGGCGTGTGTTAGCTGAGCCTCGCTCGACGGGAAAAAAAACAACCTGAGACATCCCCTCACCCCCCCCCGCCCCTTCCGAGTGGAAAGTAGAGATTTGTTCAGGATTAGATCAAATGGGACAAGCTGGGCCCGGAATCCGAACGTAGAAGGACATGGTGGCGACGGGAGCAGCCCAGGCCGGGGGAGAAGACCGCAGAATCCCGTTTTAACAAAATGTCGGGTTTATTCTAGCTGAGGGAGTCTGGGAATCGGCAGTGCACCTCGGCCAGATAAATCCTCTGCTTTTCGCTTGCAGAGGAGGCGGCAGCAGGGTCATCCCCATCCCCCGGCGCGCTTCCCGGTGGAAATTTGTCGGGGGGGGTGCCCGATTTTCTTGGAAAGGAGCGGAGGAGAGAGAAGGAGAAGGAGGAGGTGGGGAGGGAGAGAGGGGGGTTGCGCAGGCTGTTATACCACCGCGGCGTTAGAAAATGTCAGCGAAGGTGAGGCTGAAGAAGTTGGAGCAGCTGCTCCTGGACGGGCATCAGAAGAACGACAGCGCCCTGAGCGTGGAGACCCTGCTGGACCTGCTGATCTGCCTGCACAACGAGTGCAGCAGCTCGCCCCTGCGCCGCGAGAAGAACGTGTCCGAGTTTCTGGAATGGGGTGAGTACGAGCCGGGCGCTCCGGGCCGGCGTTCCCGAACTCTCCGGGCCGGCGTTCCCGAACGCTCGTTCCGCGGAACCATTCTGTCTGCCGGGACCCACAGCGCCGGTGACAGCAGCCGGGCCTGGCTGTGATTTACACGGGCTCTGTCTCTCTCTCTCTGTGTCTGTCTCTCTTCTTCGGGTCGCCGAAGGGCCCTGGCTCCCGGCTCCCCCACCCCCCCGAAAAAAAACAACGAAAAAGCCTGAATGGTGGTGGCCTCGATCGTTTTTGGGCCGGGCCGGGTCGGGCGTGCTCGCTCGCTGGCGGGGTTGGAGCCGAGCAGGAAACTTGCTCCGTTGTTAGGGGTGCTGCGATGCGCAGAAAGGCGACGTCCGGAGCAGCTTGTGCGGTGACACAACGTGCAGGGAAAACTGGGCTTTTTTTCTTCTTCTTCTTCTTCTTCTTCTTCTTCTTCTTCTTCTTCTTCTTCAACGGCGACCTTGATTGAGACGTTGAAAGCTGGACCCGTTACAGTGAGGGAGAGCGTGTGTGTGTGTGGGGAGGGGGTTACGTCCGGACAAATCGAGCACTTTTAAGTTTTGCGATATACAAATATTAAGCCTCCGCGTTAGGGTCACCAGTGAATGTCACCACCACCACCTCCAGCGGTCTTGTCCGTGCGGAAGCGCCTTGTGCCTTACTCGGGGTTTACTCCCAGCGTGCGAACCGCGCCGGCCTGTGCTCTGAAGTTAAAGCGCCCCAGCCGGTCTTCAGTCAGGGGGGCGTTTTATCTGTGCGCCTCTGGGTTACAAAGCAACAGACTTCGGTACAGCCGGCAGCTTTCTGAAGCCCCCAGGTGTGGAGTTAAGTACTTCGTGGCATTGGTCATGCCTCTCTTTCTCTGCAAGGGTACTGACAAAAGCAGACACTCCACCACCGGTAGGTGGGTGGCTGGAGAACGTTTTGGTCTTCGTTGTTTTAAGACGGGGGTCAGTACGTCACGACCCGTCTTGAATCAGGGCCTTCGGGTTCCCTGATGTTTTGCGAAGGGTTTCGGGTTTAAGAAGCCAGGTGAGAAGGTTTGCCGAGGTGTACACAAGGAAAACTCCACACCTACCATACACTCACATGTGTGATAGTAGATGATGTTCTCTGGATGAGAGCTTGGGTCGCTGGCAGACTTAAGCGCCGGGAGACTGTGGAGGTAGGCAGGCGACTTGTGCTGGTTCGACAGACGCTTGGGATCACTGGCCAAGCTGTCCGGTCGCTGTCCGTGCAGGCGCCCTGCGCCGGCACCTGGGTGCTGTTCCGTCTCCGGCGCTGGCTCCCGGCCGGCCCCGGGATCCACATCAGCGCACTAAGAGGATTGGCTTCCTGGAGCGCCGTGCTGACGTCAGCGATGGGATTACACACCGTCGGATCTGCTCCCCCAGCTCCGCGGCCCGGTGCTTCCCGGCCCCCGCGGGAGCTGTCTGCCGGAGCGGGAAAGGAGGGAGAGGACACAGGTGCAGCCTGGGCCGGCCAGGGCTCCTGCAAGCCTTCTGTTAACAGGCGATGAACCAGCGGAAGGCAGTTTCCATTTTCATCATCATCATCATCATCATTGTCGTTCTTATTACTGATCCGGCAGGAGGACGAGCCCAGGTACGCTTGGATCCGCTCAGATCCCGGGAAGCGGACCACGCAGCGCTTGCGTCCCGCTGCTGGGAGAGAGAACTGCCCTCCCAGCCGCGCGTTCCAGGTCCCGGATCACTAGTGCGGCCCTGCAACGCGAGCACAGGCGTGGGCGTCTCTCGGAGCTACAGGGGCACCGCGGAGTTCTCACCCACAGTGCAGTGCGGAGGAGGCGCTGTGCTGCGGTTCAGTAGTGTCGTAACCGTCTCCTGTAACGGCAAGGCGTGTTAAGGTTCCCCTTAACACCAGAGCGACGGAGCGATGCGGAGGGGAGATGCGGCCTTTGGCCCTGGCCCGCTCGTCCAGATGGCTCTATTGATCCAGGGCTTGTCCGTCAGTGGAAACAGTTGCTCAGCGGGTGGCTACGTTGTCTCCCCGGAATTCTGTTCCGTACCCTCGCCCGTCCCCATGTGGAGGGCAGGAGCGCCTGATCTGCCCCGCGGCGTTCTCGTGGCCCCGGGGTCCAGCAGTAGAAATCGCAGCCCTGCGGGGCTGACAGGTATTTGGCTGGGCTGCTGTGGTGTTCCCAGCGCCACACGCTGCCGGGACATTAATAGCAGGGTCTTATCAGCTGTGTGTCTGAGCTGCGTGCAGCCCTTAAAGCGCCCTTGATAGCAGTCAAGTGTCCAGTTATGACCAATCTGAGCCCAGTTACCGTCGGAGTCCAGCCGGAGTGTCGTCTTATAACTCACTGAGCTCACAGTGGGGTCCGTAATTCGGCTGTAGTGTCACTAGCAAGAGCTTTGGTCCTGGTAGCCTTGGCTTTTGATGTGATGAATCGGCATAATTTTCGGCAGATTCACCATGGTCTTTCGTCCCCTGGTTGTCCTGGACACTGCTGTAAATGAGCACATTTAATATATGGACCTAGTTTTCTGTACTTATGTGTGCCATGTGGATTTAGAAGAGTATAGCCTTGCCTAAGAATTGTGCACTGTTCAACTCTGGCTCGGAACTAAATAGGTCTGTGCTCTCCTGTTTTTCTGATACAGTCTAAACCCAGGTTTTCTGGACAGTCGGACAATCGGCAGCACTCAGCTAAGTGCTGAACTGAAGAAAGAATATGAGATTCATTTTCCGTATAATGACGATATTCCCTGCATTTGTGCTTATTTTAATATTTTATTTTTCCATTAGGCATTGTGCGACTCTATTAAAATTGTATTTAGAATTAGAGTGTAAAAGCTGTGCGTTAGACCTAGCAGACTCCATTTTAGAATTTAATTTCCATTCTTCAACATTTCTTTTTTTTTTTCCTTGACAAATGAGAGCGTTCATGCGTTACAATTTCAGGCAGCATCATGGGTGAATCGTAAGCCCTGCTTTCCAGGCCGAATTAGACTCCGAATCTGCACGGATGAGTTTTGAGCAGATTAAACCCGGTGAGATATAGCTTTATCCCTGCATTAACAGCCACTGTTGACCTTCTGTGTTCACTACTGTTTGCCTGTGCTTTAATGAAACCAAGTTAATACGCCCTGTTAAGTGAATAAAATAAGCAGATTAATGCTTTGCTTGCTTGCCTTCTAAAGATGTCCGTGGAGGCTGTGAGGAGGGCTTGCTGTGCTGTCCACAGTGCCAAGAGGAACAGAAGAGCGTTACCTGTGTCCGATAGAAATGTGCATAAGCAAGGTTATACATGAGAGGAGGCCCTTCGGCTCAGTGGGCAGTAAGGAGTTTATTGGAACAAGTAAAGGGTTATTCCATGCTGAGAAGAGAAGCAGCTCAACGTTTCGGCTGTGGAAACGTCCTCAGGTGTGCGAGCCGAAGAAGGCCCACAGCCTAAATGTGCTTCTTGTCTTCTCTTTCCAGCGTGGAATAACCCTTTACGTGTTCCTCGGCAGTCTAGGCCTGCTGACGCAGCGCCCTTGCCCGAACAACTGGTCGCTTATCGATCCAGTGATCTCACCCAGCCACATCTTAAAGGAACTCCCACAGCTTGTCCCACACTCCCGCACTCCCTGTGGATAAAGAAGCGCCTCCCGTCCTCAGTTTTCAACGCACCTCCGCGTAGTTTCCACCTGTGCTTGGCCCCCCCCCCGCCGGGGCGTGTTGAGGTGTGCGGGGCCGAGACGGTGTTGGTGCCCCCAGGGGTGCGGAGGTGGAGCGGCGCTGGGAGGGACGAGGAGGCCGGGAGTCTCCTGAGGAAGAGCGGAGAGGAGGTCAGGGAGGGAGGGAGGCAGGGAGGCACACCTGCTGCAGGTTTTCTGTCAGGCTCGGCCTCAACACCGGCTCAGCCGTTGGAGCAGACCTTACGAAAACACGGAAACCAAATAAGGAAAAGGGTTAAAAAACCCCAACAAATCGCTAGACAGAAGTTCACACCACCTCGGGGTTCTCACAACCTTATTCCAGTTCCGCTACTCCTTCCCTTCTTTTCAGACAGGTGACAGAGGGGGGAGGGTTGTCTCGCGTATGAAGTGCTCGGCTCTGGCAGTGCTTGGGAAAGATTCCCAATGCCGCTTGTAGTGGCATTTATTTTTGGGGGGGGGTGGGGTGGATCGATTTCCCAATGTCCGAATGCGAACGTGACTGAAGATGAGCTGAGACGCGCAGAACCAGAAGAGGGCGGAGATCCGGTTGGACCATCGCTGCCCTCGGCTGTGCAGCGGGCAAAACTCAGTTGGAGGTATTCGAGAGATGGTTTGAAACCGAAATCTGATTGCCCCCTTATCCTGCAAGGACCAGAGTTTTTGTAATTGAACAGATTAGGGTCTTAATTGATTAACTTAACAGTGGTTGCCGATCGTCGGACGCGGGTGGCTTATATGATTAACATGTAGCGCTCCAGGACTGGGGTTGGGGTAGGAAGTACTCTTTTGCCCACTTAATCTCCCCATCACGTTTCTAGCAGTACTTTATTTTAAACCAATCCTATTTTATGGCCCTTCTTCCTCAGGACTAAGTAAATCCATCACTCGTTCCTTGTGCATATAGCGTCTTGTCCTCCCTCCACTTTAGCAGATTAGTGGTAGGAGTGTGATGCGAATGATACATGATGCATGTCCACACTTGGTGTAGAAAGAAGAACATGGAGTCGCATTTGTAAAGTAATGGGCAATTTGTTCAGGGTGGGAAAATAGGAGATTCGTCTTTGCGCAATAAAAAGTTGTTTCTCTAGAACTGGCTTCAAGTATTCAACACAAGTATTTCATTTCAGACCCTGCGAGACCAATGTTGCAGCTTTTTTTTTTTTGTAGCAACGTTGAGCTTCCAAGCATTGTACAGGGTTTGCAAGTCGTGTCAGTTGATTTATGCAGCCAGAGGTAAGAAACATGTGAGGAAGAAGGACAGCTGGTGCTTTATCATAGATACAGAACTGAAGAGCCAAAGTTTTATTAGAC